TGAAATGGTGATGCCAGTCCGCCCCCCACCCGAAGAAAGATCCTGGTAAGACCTTCCCTCTTCGAGCTCTAATTGTTTGCTGTGACGATAAGGATTAGATACCTAACGATTTGCAAGGGCTCTCGGCTGCGTTGAGATCCCGGCACAGTGGCGCTGGAGCACACGTGTTGACGTGATGGAGATCGCTGGGCTTCTTCTGAGGGTAATAGCTTTTTTAGGTGTGCGACTTTTGAAAAACTGAAGGCGGCTCGTTTAAGTAATGTCGCTATGCTGCTTTTTCTTAACATGCGTTACCTTGATCTTTCGCTGCATGAGAAATTTTTTACAGGGGTTTTTAATGGGTTGATGGCAAATCGCTCGCAGGTTTTTGTGCTTCGGACGACAATACCTTCTTACATACGTAGTATCTCAATATCTAGTCAACTAAGAACAATATCGCAGAGCGCAATATTTTCTCAGAATTGCGGTCGCTTGTCAGAATCTCTCAATGCGTTCGTCTAGTAACCTGTGGCGAAGTTTTGTGATCGTGTACAATGTCTTGTTGAATTTGATGTTGGAAAAGTTCAATTAGAATTCAATAAAGTGGACTATCGCTTTGAAGTGGGGAAAGGCCTTTTTTGTAACCCCGCTGTATCTCGGCAAGCATTATACTTTCGTAGCTTCATTACATGAAATTTTTCAGAGATAGAGGATGAAAAGATAAAGCTTACGCCGTTGATCAATCCATTTATGGGATCGCGGCAACGCACTGTACATTCCATTCAGGAATCGTAGTGACATTATTGAGTGCGAACCTGGTGGCCCATACAATGACTTTGCGGGGCCAGCCGATGGTATCAAGTCCAGTGTTTTAATCCTCCCAAGAGAACTTGGTAGCCAATTTACCGTCCCCAGAGGGGTAGAAGGCTTGGTTGGCCTGGGCGGGTGTCGACCCGGGATTTGAACCCGGCGCCGCGCGAGTGGTAAGCGCGCCACTTGTCACTACACCACCTCCGCCTATTATCCAGATTAGGCGGCTATAACACTCGCCTACAACTATAACACTCGCCGATATCAAGCTCTACGCAAAAAACCAAAGGAGCGTTGCAGACAGAAACTAAAAACATTAAACAAAAAAGCTAGAGAAATACCCCATCTAAGCGATACTGTATACCCCCGAGTCCGGGCCAAGGCGAGAGTACCCCTTTGCCAAACGAAATCACCCAGCAACGCCCGTAACAGCATCTCTGACGGGGCCTACCGAAGAACTTGCCGATTCGCCTCCTTCACTAAATGCAACAATGGTCTGTATCCCGACATTGGAGCCGGCGTTACATAAACGGCGACATTACATAAAACTGTTTCACAATGACGTTGCCAGTTTTTCATCTACTATTGAAACGGTAAATTCTCAGCACCAGTTATAGAAGTTATCAAAATTCAGGATTGACACTAATCCACAATGTGCTGGAAAGAAAGAAAGAATGAAATGTTTGTTATTTTGCCCAGGAGCTGCTTGAAATTACGGAATAACAGATTAGAGATGTAGAAAAAAGCACTTTGATATTTTTGATAGCTCAGCGCCAAAAACTACATTTTTTTAAGAACAGCGTGACCAGGACTGCATTCGTGAGCACAATCGCCGTAAAAATCCCCCCCCCTTTTAACGAATAGAAACTTTAGCTAGAACAAATCAGTAAAAAGTATAGATTCCGTTATTGTTAATGCCTTCTGGAAAGCAGCACGCATCCTACTTCCGTAGATCGCTTACTGAATCGAATATGGCTACAGGGAATTTCGGAATTCTCATGGGGACGTTGGGAATTCTCATGGGGGCGGAGTCGTATTCGGTCGCGAGGGGAAAGGGTGGGGGTCCTATTTCCGCCTGAGAGAAAATTTGGTAGTTTTTTTTCTTGCTTCAGGGACGCTATAAAGGGGGTCTTTTTGTCATATTGGTATTGGGAAGTTTTTTTCCGGATGGCATATGTGCTATGTACCTCTCCCCCTCCCCTCGACAGCTCGATCAGAGGGGCCAAGGGCGAGGAGGGGGGATGAGGGTCGTACCAAGCGAGCTCATGGGAGGGGTCGTACGGACTCGATTGAAATCCCCAACTAAAGATGTACCCTGGTGGCATATACAGTGACTTGCGAGGGCCAGTCGACGCACATGTCAGAGTTTTCATCTGCCCGGGGATATATTCCGTCCCTGGAGGGTAGAAAGTTTTTGGCTGGAGAGGGAGTCCATGCGAGATGACACCAAACCGCGCGCGTGGTAAGCATTCCATTAACCACCGGTCCTGGAAAATAAGACCCAAATTACAAGGCGACTGAGACTAATGTTTACAGGAAATGCAGTCTTCGAACTTGTGGTCTGGGGAAGACTGTGCCATTCAGCCGGTCCCATGATGTCGCGCTGAGTGCGAGGCAAGAGATCCACTTGGCGATGACACAGCGTGGCAGGTAGTCGCATGCGCAGTCCACACACCAAGCCTGATTAATGCCGCAAGAGAATTTTCAGTTACGTCGAGTTGAAGCTAGCTTAGGAAGTACCGTCTAGTTTCTAAGCCGCATTGAGTGTCTCCTGCCTTCCCTCTGCCGCTGATCTTGCCTTGCCATATCAAATATTGTAAGAGCTTGTGCGACACAAGATCGCATATCGTAAGCTCTCGTATCCATCCTTTCCGTCTAGAGAGGCTGTTGGAAGCGTTTGATCACCTTTCCTTAACGAGAAATACCTTGGAAAGACCAGCACCCACCACCCCCTGCTTCCGTTGTAATATCTTCAATTATTGTGTCCCTAGGTTAAAAGAGAAAGCACACCAACCGTTCCCCCGGGACCGTGGTCTCTTCTACGGGGAGGGGTCAGAAAAGGCACTTTGCTCTAGGCACATATGAAGAATACGCAGCCCAAAGAGAAGACGCTGACACGACTACCAAGGTGAAAGACACCCAAGTGCCCCTCGATAAGCAGAATCAGGCTTTCGTTTCTCACCTTCATGTACCAAAATATGAAGCCATCTGTAATCGTAGCCAAACTAAGTAAGGATCCGTTCTTACCACTTCTACTACTGAAAAACAGCGTGAGCTTACCTAAGCTCACACGGTGGACCTTCGGTGTGCTGACTGTTACACCAAATAACTCGAGGAGAATATTTTGCCTCCGTGTCGTCGCCTGTACCGTCGTGGAAGCTTCGTACTACTACAGGATTCGGTGCCAGCACATAGAATCGAAAAACTCTCACCTATTTAGAATCAAAGGGCGTTGAGCACCTGAAAAAGACGGAATATCCAACTGTGTCACCTGACCATAACCCCCTCCACTACTGGGTTTGGGCAGCGCTCAACAGGGTGCTCTACAGTGGCGTAGAAACCAACAGTGTCACCGGGCACCGAATCACGGTCACGTGGCAGAATCTCTCGATGGTGTTCATCCAGAAGGCTGTGGCAGAATTCGTGTACAAGGTGTTGATGAATTTGGTGGTGAAACTGTCCAATCGGAATTTAATAAACTGTGACTTATTCCGCTTCGAAAGTCGAGGAAAAAAGTCTTCCTCGTCCCCTCTCGCCCTGTATGCGTGACGTGAATGGGTCGCAGCTGCAGCAGTGTGCCATTTCCCCCTCTCCTCCAGAGGTGCATCTGGGCACGAGTGTAGTGACGCCTGGGTCATCGAGGATATGGGCTCACATGGAGGATAGCGTGGGCGCAGTATGGAGACGGCAGCTGGATACCACAGCCCTGCAACCCTACCGTGCACGTTTGACTAGAGAAAGTGGGACAAAACTGTAGCTGCGGACCCATCCCTTTCGTATTTGGAAAGAACCGTTCTAGGAGGCGAGACATTTTTGTCACAAACGTGCTTGGGCACAATGAATAAACCGTTTCTTGGACTTGGAGGACTGTATTGAAAGCAAACATTGTCATGATTTGCGAAAATTTATTCTTTTTCCATAATATAAGGCAATTCATTAAGCAATAGAAATCTTCTCCTATCAATGATACAGGAATTCATAATTGAATCTAAACAGGGTAAAAGCAACTTTTGTACGAGGAATTAGAAATTAAACGGAGGTGATCAATATTCATAAGGCGAGTTCACTAACAAAGCAAATTGGATATGGCTACACATCGAACGAAAATGAAACAAATGCGGCCACTTATAGACCCCTAACAAAACCACCTCACCGAACCACCCAATGCGACATTGCCAGTTAGGAGAAGCGAGCAAACTGTACGATAACCCCTCCTTAAATGACTAAATTGTGAGACGCTCAATCTAAAGCGAGTCTAAAAATACTAACTAGATAATTTAAGATTCCCAACTGCCAGTCGTCATCCGGGGACTTGATTAGGGCGGCAAGGGTCGCGACGCGGCTGCGGCGCGTCACGACCGCGGCGATCAGCTGTTTTATTTGGCCATTTTCTCCCTAATTTTCACTGTATTTTCTATTTTTTAAGGTTAATTGTTTTATTGTCTTCATGAAGTACATGAGCGGGTGGAGTCTTTTTTGTTTCTATAATAGAGTGTTTTTGCGGTTTTTTTTCAGGTGTTTGTTCAATTGTCTGCCTAACTGTTTAATTGTGCGCAAAAAAACAGAGGAATCTCAATCATAATTTACCTTGTGAAGACAAGGAACAACTAATCTCGAGAAAAGCAGCCATAACAGTGTAAATTAGGGAGAAAATGGCTAAAATAGGCTGGAAACAGCTGATCGCCGCGCTCGTGACACGCCGCAGCCGCGTCGCGACCCTTGCCGCCCTAATCAAGCCCCTGGATGACGACTGTATACGAGGCAACCGCAAGCATAACAGAAGAAACAACAGCTTCAATCACATTATCCATATCCGTTTGGCTACACATTCAGGCGTTTTTGTAAACGAAACCAGTAAAATTAGAAAATAATAGAATACTGCAGATCCCGTTGATCCAGCTAATACAACACCACCTACCAAACCCTAGCAACCAGAGAACCAAATCTGTAGCTACTACCATTTGTAACCCCAAACCCCACAGCACTTTCCTTTATTTACCGCCAACTTTCATCCACTCGCAATCCTCAGTGCGGCTTTCCTCAAATGTGCCATTTTTGTTCGTGTTAATGTCGGCGTGAGAGATGAAAGGCGCCATAGAAAATAGTGGCCGCGAAGTAGTCGGTAAGGATAAACCAGGAGGTGCGTCATCTGGATGTGTGCCTTCGAATCCAGGTGGAGGACCGCTCAAAAGGTTACCGGCTATTGATGGCTCTATGTTGAAGCCGGGAGGAGCAGTATCGTCCTGCAATTAGAGCTACAGTATGGATTGTAAGGAAAACCATGTAAATCCATTGCTTTTGTTTTTTCTGGGTCTCAAAAGTACTCTGTGTCTCTGGGACTTTGCAAATAAATGCGCATTATACCCCAGAAAATAGGGTATGTTCCTAGGATGTTACGAAAGCAAACGCTAAATACTATCAAGAAACTCACGAAAACTGGCGTTTTCTCTAGCGCTTTAGGAGGTAGAGCTTGAGGTAGCACAACCTTTCTCGTATTTACAGCAGAAGGCGGAGCTATGGGATCCGGTACTTTCTCAGCAGATTTCGCTTCAAGTTTTTCAGCAGTTTTCGCACCCATTACATTTGCTAGCGAGAGGTTCGAAAATATCGATGACGAGGACGTGAGCTGAAAATAACAGCTTTAAATGTGATAGACTACACACAGGGTACAGCATCGTTGTGTGAAACACATAGGAGGGGGGGGGGTCGTAGTTTTCCGCAGGAGAGGCGGGTCGTATTTTGTCGTCGTTGGGAAAACGGTCGTATGCGCCTTTGAGAGAAATTCACCGCGTTGAGAAAAAAAATTTTTCCCGCTTGTTGACTATCCGTGGATTTTCCCTTTATGTGTACTATTTAGACCCCCCCCTCCCCGCTTGACAGCGAATCTTTGGGTGAAAAACCGGAATGTGGGAAATTGGTAGGTAGGTGTTAGGGAAGGGGGAGGTCATACCGAGAGTGGGGAGGAGGGTCGTACTGACATCCTCGGAAGGGGGGGGGGTCGTACCTACGCCACCGTTTCACACATCACGATGCTGTACCCTGATTACACAGCAAACGGAACTTTGCCGCATTTTCCAGAACAGAGCTCAAGGAATATTTGCACTTCTGAATTCTCCGTGAATAAGTTCAAAGGAAACGAGCTAGATTCTGAGAGAAGACTCACCCAATTCAAAATAGAAGAGCTTTGAGGATTTGTTTCAGATGATGGAAGATCTTTTCCGGCCGACTCTTCCACATACTTCTCGACTTCTGCGAAATGGTCGTCGGCTCCAATATTCGAATCAGGAACCACTTCAGTTTTCGTCTCAGTGGAATGACTCTGTTTATAGTCC